TTACAGAAAACAGAGGAATTTGTAGGTAAAACTAAAGGGTATGTAGGAAAAGGCCGATGAGAAGTCATGCATACAAAATTCATTGGTATCAGAACCCCACCTCATTTTGTATTGCATGTGCCGTTTTTGTGTAATTGATAATTTGTTAATTAACAATAAATATCTAATTATTTAAGCAAGAATTTTCTTTAAATATTTAAAAGAATATGAAAAAAATAAAATCTATTTATATTGGTACATGTATTAACATAATGAAAAAATGTATACGAATGTTTTGTTGATACTTACAATTTAACAATTATAAAAAATAAAACCCGCCCACCCGCCCCAATTTTTTAGCAAATTAGGATGAGAATCTAAAGATTAATTTTACCTGGCCTAATCTCAAACATTTATAGCCTAAGATATGTTTATTTAATTGAACACTCTATGTACTTTCACCACCTATTAAGTAAACAACAGTGATTTGTGTTTATATGTATTTTAAAGTTCTCTTTCTTGAACTTGTAGTGGATGGGAAGGTCATGCAGAGCCATCTAGCAGGAATCCGTCATGCCCGCTGGTTTGAGGAGAATGCATTCCATTCAAGGTAGCCAATTCTGTATAAATCTTTTGGTGTATCATTTAAATTACTGCTGTAGGAAAGGGATTAAGTAGACTTGACCCATTAGAGGATTTCTAGATCATACTTAGAATATATACTGAGTTAAGTCTGATGACAATATAATTAAAATTTACCTTTTATCATGTATTTTGTGAACACGTTTTAATCATCTTTGTGATTGTTGGATTGAAAATTGAATGAGAAGCTAAAATTTCATTTGAAACAATAATTTTATCTAGAAAATGCCATGTGAGTCATGTTCCTTTAAAACATAAAGAGCAAAAAAGCATGATTTTATTTTTCAGATTATGCATGTATCTATGTGTACAATATATTATTTCCCACTCAAATTTTCATTCATTTGATTTTTGTATTGTAGTATAAAAGTCCTGATTCGATTAATGAGAGATCTGAAGAATAGATTTAAAGGATTTGAACCCCTTACATCATGGATCATAGATCTGCTGGTATAGTGTGAAGCTCACTCCATCCCCTCATTTTGTTTATACTCTACACTTTAATAGATCAGTATAAAATATATTTCTGTGAATTAAATATTTAATTACATTTTTCAAATATTTTTTTTTTCACAAAGTTTTTTTATTTGAAAAAAAAGTCAGTGGCTTTTGGATTTTGACGAAGGAGAATTAAATAAATGCTAATAAATTATCATTCACAATATTGTTTTAAGATTTTTGTTTCCTTATTCAGTCTCACTATGCCATCATGAATTACACTTTAATAGATCAGTATAAAATATATTTCTGTGAATTAAATATTTAATTACATTTTTCAAATAATTTTTTTTTTCACAGTTTTTTATTTGAAAAAAAAAAGTCAGTGGCTTTTGGATTTTGACGAAGGAGAATTAAATAAATGCTAATAAATTATCATTAACAATTTTTGTTTCCTTATTCAGTCTCACTATGCCATCATGAATAACCCCACAAGACAGCCTCTCCCCATCAATGTAGCCTTCAAGTAAGTGGATTTTCTTCTTTAGATGCTGAAAACGTTGTATAATATAAAGGAGTAAATATATAACTTGTCTATTTAGTTTCCAAAATAGGGAAACTGGCATTAACCCTATAAATACTGTTCAGAAACAAGCATTATCTGATTATGAACAGAGTTAAATCAGTGATATTTACTTAATTGGGGAAAATGTTTGCAAATAAAGTATTCATTCAATTTATCTTGGCCTAAATTCATTGCCAAGTATGCTTGAGTTTATTTCAGATTGAATAGATTTAAATTAACTTTATTGTAGAACAAATGGTAGATTATAATAATTACTTAAAAATGCCACAGAATCAGAACATCTTAATGTCAAGTGTATAAAAGTTTCTGAACCATCAGGAAGTACAGAATTGATACACACATTGTATGTAGGAACTGTACCACGTAATGTATGTTCATTGATAACTCGTTTGACTACAGGAGATGTCTACAGTTGCTAGCCGCAGGATTTTTCCTCCCGGGATCGGTCGGGATCACCGATCCCTGTGAACAAGGAACGGTTCGAGTCCACACCGTGATGACTCTGGAACAGCAGGTTTGTACAGGAAGTGATGTAATAGACTGATCAGTACAGGAAGTGATGTAATAGACTGATCAGTGTGGTATGTACAGGCAGTCGATTGTTTATTGGTGTAAGGAAGTTATACCTTTATACAGGGTCAAAGTATAAATCAATATAGGATATTTCCTTGTAATTCATAAAGTGTATGGCAGTTGGTAAAAGCAATAAGGAAAGGTTTAGCTATATAAAGTGGAAGTTGTTGTTTGTATAAAACACTGTGTGTGTACCTTGATGTCATATAATGTGTGTTTGATTGAGCACTGTACAATGGGTAAAGTGAAGCAACTCTGAGAAGCTACACATTTTTTTTTTTTACAATATATGTACATCATGTATTTCAACTCAGTTTTCTTAAACATCAACTGCAAAAAATGTAAATAAATTAAAATAGAATACGTTGAAGCTAATTAAGTAACAGTATATTTTACAAGCAATATCTCTGATAGTTTGAATTTGCAAAAATTGCTATCTTTAAAAAAAAATAACATTCTGAATCTCATATCTTTACTTTTGCAATCTGTATGTAAGTAAAAAGTGCAACATTTAAAAAAAAACCACACACTTACTGACAAATAAGGGATCTTTTGAGACACTCTAAAATTCTCATAGTTCTGTACAGAAATTTAGTGCACATCAAAAACGTTATTTTACGCATATTAAGCCTGCAAAAGTTCTGAATCATAATATTGTGTTCTCCCTTTATGTATCTCCCTCTTCTCTCCTTCATTTCTCCCCCTCCATCCCTCCCTTTCATTTATTTTATGATACTTTGACCCCTTGATATGGTATATATGAAAGGTTGGAAATGACTAGAGAATGCATAATGTACAATATAGATATCCTTCTATATACAGGATATGGTGTGCTTCACAGCTCAGACATTACTCCGAGTACTCACCCATGGAGGATTTAAACAGATCTTAGGCATGGAAGGAAACTCTAGTAAGTAACGAAAAAAAATCATAAAATAAGCTAGAGATTCTCTTGGAAGTGTTTTAAATCTTGTAAAAGAAGAGCAAAGAGGCCCAGGTTATTTTGGTAATTTTATTCAAAATAAATTTCCACTGTCAGCTAGTTTTTAAAATATATTCAAAAGAATCAGTAAATCAATATGTTGATGATGTTATGGCTCGTGGGGATGCACCTGGTTACAAGGTTTAAGATGTGGAATTATTTTTGAAGAATTTTTTGGGAGGTGGGAGGGGGACTACTTTACGCTATGGTTTATCTGAATTACATTTGATAGATTTTCGTCCCTTCACGCAGGTATAGCGACAGAAATGAGCGTGTGGGAGGGCGTTGTAGTGACGCCATCAGACAAGGCGTACGAGAAACCCGAAAAACGGGAGGGAGAGGAGGATGATGAAGATGGCGACATGGAAACGCAATGATCTACATGACAACACCATGTACTACATGTAAGAATTTTAAATTTCTTTCGTTAAATTGTATTAACTTCATGTTGAGAATTTTGTATTTCATATAGTTTTTTGTTCTGAAGAATTTCGTAAATAGATGATAGTGTCATTTATTAGAGTACACGTAAATGCTTACTGCTCTGATCAGCAATTGTAAATTGTGCTGTGTTTAACAAATCAGAATAAATTAGCATGAATTATAGCCGATAAATTTTTAGATAATGTCAGAAAGAAATTCTGCTCTATAAGAGGCTTAATGTGGAATTATTTGAATGTAGTGGATTCAATGTTTGTGAGCAATTTAAATTTTATTGTATAATGGGGATATTATTTCATGGATGACTTTTAAAAACATTGCATAACTACAATTGTTCATAAACTTGTCAGAACGGATGCAACATAAGATTTTCAGTTAGTTTTATAGCTTGAATATTGTTAGGGCATGCACTTAGTATATATGTTTATATATATGAGAATGTGAACATGTTTCATTAACTTTCATATAGCCCACTGCTTGAGCAGATGTTTTGTAAGCTGAAAAATAAATAAAAATTGCTTATATTACTTTATTTCTCATGCAAAGTTGGGCTATATTCTGAAACCAGACTAGTAAAATCGTTCATTTTATTATAATTTTACAAAATAAGTGCAGTGAATCAATACTTTCATGAATTTATTAATTTCCAGGATGCCCCAAGAGGAAGAAAATTTGTTCAGCAGTTACAGAATTGCGGTTGATATTTTACCAAAAAAAGTGGAGACAGTCAATGGAACATCAGTGGTTTATACATTATTCTGTTGAATCTGAGTGTTGAAAATGAAAGAACCAAAGGAATATACAAATGGACATGTTAATTATAGGAGAGTGTGTGTGTTAGAGAGAGAGAGAGAGAGATAATATTGATGAAATGCCATATTTGTGTTTTACTTTGTTTTCAACTTATATTGTGACTGTATTGTTTAGAAGTATGTTGTTGAAATTTCAATTTCAGAAGGAAATTGAAAATTTATTCTCTTAACCTATTATTATGAAATAGAAATTTTTTTAAATCTTTTTTTTATAACTTGAAAGACATTCATGCATTTGTGGGATATCGCAAAAGAAAGGCAGCAAATATATATGTAGAAATCCTATTAAAATATAACAAAAAATAATATGTATACCAAGATCAATTATATAATGAGTTTATTATTTTTTCATTTAGAAGAATACAAAACAAAGAATAATGTTCATTATGTTAATGAATAAAGAAGAATTCAAGGGATGAAATGTACGTTTATATTAATATCAAGAAAACTTTGAAGAAAAAAAATCACAAATAAAGACGAATATGAACTTTTCCTGTATTTTTTGTGTTTCTTTTCAAACAGAGACTTGTTTCCTCAATACTGTCAACATATAAACAATAATTGTGACTTTTGCACTAAATTTGTGCTAAATCTCAGTGCAATTCTTTATGTAAATTCACAGTATTTATAATGTAATGCTATGAGTACATATTATCACAGATTCTTCCATTAGTTTGAACCTTGATTGGGGTTAGAATTCTATCTCGTTGTCCTGGAAGTCTTGGAATTTCGGTGTCTTGCACGTTCGGTTTGGTTCATCTTTGGTATGGACAAAGGCAGCTACAGGAACTGTCCTTTAAAAGAAAAAAAGATGAAAGTTTTGAAGACTTAACTTTAAGAAAACTTTGATTAGCTTAATCTAATATACATACAAAACTTGTTCATAAAAAAGTCATTTTTTAACTTACAAAAATAAAACTACTCCATGCATAAAAAGTGTAATATTAATTAATACCAGGTGATAATTACGGCTACCTATGTCTGATATAAATAAACTGCAAAATATCAAAATAGAATTTGAAAATGTGGGAAGTGTTACGAAGGAAACGTAGTTTCAGTTTTTTCCCAAAATAGAACATGTTAATCTTTTAATTGAAATTTCCTGTGGATGAGAGACAATTTGAGAACGTTGAAAGTTTTATTAGGGAAACATAGTTTGAATTTGAGGGGATTTCTTTAAATGGAGTTAGCCAATCTTTTTAACTGAGATTTCCATTCAGATGAATTCTCTGTGATGAATTACCTAGGCTGTATGGGTTCTTTGATCTGAGCCTTCTTCTGGAATTTCTCGTCCTGCTCGTCCCGTATCTGAAGCTCTCCCTGTAGTCTGGTGATTTGTGATATGGAGATGTTGTTAACATTTCTGCATCAAAATAAATTTCAATTTAAAAGTTCTCTCCATTAGATCAGTTTATTTGGGAATCACTGTTGGATATTCCAGTTTGAAACTTTGTGATAGATTTTCCCTTTAATAAACTTTTTTTCAAATCTTGTAAACACTTCCTCCTGGTAATGTATGCTGGGTTTTTCTCTAAGAAAATCTGATATGATTAATGAAAAGAATATTTGATTTGAAGAAGTACATGTATCAATGGATAAGGTACATTGTTGGTACTTTGCATAAGACCTTTCTGAAATGTTATGTATACAATAACTTAACAGATAACCTGATATAGTCATTTTCTGCACATTATTGCCCACTGTACTTGTAAAGATGCTTCAACTGTCTATCATTCCATAGCCCCACCCCATCATTTCAATCAGCAGAGAACAGTCATGTTCATAAATGACTTTTATGATGCTTGCAGGCGGTTCCTTTAAAAAATTTAGGTCCGCCACTGATCATTTACTTACGAATGTGAAATGATCTGTTGATCTTCCGTGGTGTTTCTTGTCTTGAGATACTGCTCTAGTTTATCAATGGTGGTTTGTAATGATTGACACATATGCTCCGCCTCCTCACGTGCCACCTTCTCTTTCTCGAGAGCCTCGTTTCGAAGATTTAGTATTGCCTGCATGTGCTCAATCTTTAACATTAACTGTCTGCATCTGAAATTGCCAAATTTATATTAGCTTGATTAAAGAAATTACTTTTCGTATCTTGAGATCTTAGGGTGGAACCGTGAAAATTTTGGAACATGTCAAAGTAATATTTTGAGATCTAGTACGCATATACTATATCTCATATGATCACTGTCAAAATATTCATATGATGTTTACCTGAGTATATCAAGGGCAAATTAGTGAATATGGTTTCATATGATTCTCATATGATCCGTTTCATATGATTCTCATATAACAACTGTCAGAATATACATATAATTCTCATATGCAGGGCCAATCATATGAGAATCATATGTAAATACAATCATATGATTTACATGTGTGTAAACATATGATTCTCATATGATTTGCCACATATGATTCTCATGTGATTGTATATTTTTATACATATGGTTCTCATATGATCCACATATGATCCTCATATGAAAGGCAATGCATATGTGGATCATATGTGGCTAAATTGCCCATGTAGAAATAACTAAATTGGACGTATTTTAAATGTTTTAGATACATTACCAAATAATATATGTTTAAAACATGGTTAAAATCGTTATGCTTATCATGTTTGACTGAAATACAAATTAAGCACACTGTCAGTCAATTTACAAAGTAAACACATGTGTACTCTTTAAACTATTATTACTTTACTTGTAGAATTATCTCTTTTCTACATCATGTCTTTTGATATACTAGTACCTTAATACTCAACATATATTCTGTCGAACATATCTCAACTGTAAGCTTTATTACAAGGATTTTTTTTAATTTATACCTTTCCTCTGTGTCCTTGCGAAGTTTTCGCTCAGATTCCATTTGTGCAGTTAAAAACATCATCTCATCAGGTGACCTTGGGTCATTACGACTGACCGATGTCCTTCTGAAATTACAGAAAGAAAAAAATCTAGCAGGGAATACTCACTTCTCCATGACACCTGATCCAACCTCTGATGTTTTGGCGAAAGATTACAATGATCAAGTAGTAAAATTATTGGTGTAGAAAACAAAAGGACCAGAGATGGAATCAGGTGCTTAGGAAGAGTGAACATCCCCTGTAGACTACTCACACCAACCCTTAGCTGTCTGTTATTGACCAAGTAAACTGGGTAAGTTGTAGTAAAAATGCTATTAAAACGTTACCTTAACAACTAGTAGGAAACATGTCAATCATAATACAAGACTGACACATGTTGTTTTAATTATTAAAAAAGGATATAACGAACTTTGAATGTACAAAAGACAGATTTAAATTGGAAATCGTGTGATTTTAACTTAATTTTCATTTTTGTTTAAAATCATAATCAGACACATGCTCTAGGAAGAGTTGGAGGTATAAACACTTCTGATCACGCATTATAAATTTATAACAGTGAAAATATTGAAAATGGAATATGAAATGTATTGCAAATTTTTGTGTTTAAGGAATGTGTTGCTACAAAGAGAAAATTGAATACTGTAAATATATCATACTCTTTGTATAAATAATTGTTAGTTGACCATGATCTATGATGTACTTCAGGAAACTTGTCTCTAGAATCTATTTTTTTTTAATTAACTAATTTTGTGGACGACCAAACACATATATTTAAGAGTTTCAATTTTATTGAGGGATCAGTTCTGATGATATTAAAAATACTGTCCTTTAATTTATCGAGATGAATGCTTGTATAAAAAGGAAAATAAAACACAGGCGCATGAATATATTTTCTTTCTAATTTTGATCAAGAAGTGAATAAATGATAAGTTATCTTGTCTTCCTAAATGCATTCTAGAAAACATTTTCACACAAAAGTCCCTTTGATATAGTAATTTCATTTAAAAGAATATAGATTTGTGATTGCTTTTTCCTTCTGTCTACATAGATATACTAGAGTTTAACTAACGTTAGAGTTTAACGTTACTGCACATTTATCATAAAGGTTAAAAAAAAAAAACAATGAAAATAATAATAAAAATGCATGAGTTGGTTTTGAATCTGCCAAAATTTTTTGATTTATTTTTAGAAATATTATTCTGACTTCAACATTTATTGAAATGGCACTTACGTTTATATACTAAATGAAAATAGAACCAGTGTTTTCATTTAATCCTTATTTAATTGAAGATATGTAAGATATTAATTGAAGATATCGACAGGGGATGCCCACTCCTCCATGGCACTTCAATCAGATCCCATTTCTGATAATATGGAGGTCCTTGTTTGCTCCTATTTTTTGTTTTATGGGATTTTGATCATTAATACTCTTCGTTATCTCCATATGTTTCATATGAAGAAAAGCACAAAAATACTTTATTATTATTAAACATTGATTTTCATTATTTTTTTCTTAATTAAATCGCATTAAATTAAAAGAAAATGACATAAATCAACACATACTTGTTTTGTGTATAAATACATAACGTACCTATTCAGTGTAATGTACTCCGATATGGGACGAGCCCTGTCATAACTGAAAATGGAATAATTAGAGATAATATTCAATGTACATAAAATAGCTAACTGCTTTGAAAGAAGGATATGGAGAAATAATCTTTTTTGTTATATCTTTTATATACTAGTACATGTATATTGTCAGAATACTGATCAAATTTCTGAAATTTGCAAATTTGAAAGTAGTTTTCGAATCCTTAAAGGTGAGATGTAGTAATTGCAAGTCTTTTTTCTGATTTGTTAACATTTTTAAACATGGTTAATTTAGAAATTACTTTTTTTAAAAATGTTTTGTGAATTCATGTAAATTTAATGATTCGTATAAGAATACACCAACATTTACTTGTATGAAACATGGATAAAGGGGAAAAATCAGAAAGTTTAATAGTCCTCAGGGAAGCAATATGTTGTAAAAATAAATAGCTTTTTCAAAAAAAAAAATGCATTGCTTTTACATGTTTTATGAATTCAATAAAATTGTAAGAAATGTACATTTTGGATAATATAGAAACTATACTAGTATTATTAATAATAATAATAATATATATATATATATATATATATATATATATATATATATATATATATATATATATATATATATATATATATATATATATATATATATATATATATATATATATATCAGATTCTCACTAAATATGGTCACTTGATCTTCTTCCTTTCCGAGACATCCTTCAGGATCTAGGTTCCCAAATACCGTTATATACCTCTAAATAACAGTAATAAATTACAGGTCTTCCTATTACGTCCCCTCCATTTAGTCACCGTGTTTATGAGTTAATTCAGTTTGTCGCCTCACAATTTGAATCAGGTCTCTTTTTCTATTTCTATTTTTCTCAGCTGTGATTGATTCCACACAGTCTTGAATGTTAACAGTTTCAGTTTCCGCTCCTTATATTTTTCCTCTAATAAACACTTTCATTTAATTCCGATCACTTTCAAAAAAATCTTAGATTCACTTATCATATCCTGTTATTGGTGAGATAGGCCCTGATAGGAACTAACGATCAAATCGAAATGCACAACTCCAAGACATGCAAGTGACATTTAGACAAAAAGTGACAATGCCTTAGCCTTGTGTATTACTTTATAATGTGTTGCAATTTCTTTTGTTAAAGTTACACCTGACCCCATGAGTTTAAACATAATTACGACTTAATCTTCTGTTACGAAGATATTTAACCGCTGCAGAACAAATAACAAAAGGGAAATGTGTTTTTCAAATCATATGTTAAGCATTTTAAATACTAATATACAAAGAGTACACGCGCTCTACTTTTGTATTTAGAAATGCAGTGTTCATTGAATATGGCGTGCTATTTTTAAGTTTTATTTTGCTATTGACCTCTTACGAATATTTCTTATATAACCTCACTGCATTAAAATTAAGCCGACGTTAAACATTAATTTAAACAAAAGTGCTTACAAAATGGACTATATAAATATATGCTTAAAATAATCTTAATCTAGTTTCAAATCCAAAACAATATTCTTTTTTAAATAAAAATATATCAAAGAAAAATAAAACTAACTAAATTACAATTTGATTTTTTTTAATATCATGGTCTATATGATTAGATTAAAATGAACCTATCTAGCTATTATTTCAGAACAGTTTATACTGGGTGCGTAAAATATCAATTTCGTCTGAAGTTAAATGATAAATGAAATCAATTTAAATAACAGATCTTCAACTCTTAAAGGACATAAGGAAATTTTTCTTCTTTACCCTGTTCAATGTACTAGTATTTCTATTGTTTGTGGGATTTCTTGTATATCATCGCGTGTCCACACCATACAGCGTTTATTTTCCTGAGCTAGTTAAGATAAATATTCATGTGTGGATTGGTTTTTTGTTTTAACTATTTTATTTGTAAATAATGTGAATGATAATATGAATTGATAGCATATTAATTATTTGTAAACTTGTGCAAAATTTTATCCGTCTGCAACAATCATTACTTCATTACTTATCAGTACAACTTTTTTGTTACCAAAAATTTAACTTGCCCATTTTACTTATGAATGATGATGTTATTTTCAGGATTTTTGCCAACGATTTGTATCATCTGTCCATAGATATTTTAATTTTAATTCTAACACGCCATTTGATCAGATAAAAGATTTATTTTATATTGTAGAATATAACTTGCATACGTCACAATGATTTACGTCAAAAACGTATTATTTCGCTTGACGTTAATTTTAAAATATGCTCTTTTTGAAGCCCTTTTTTGAGATAAATGATAAGGAATGAAGCTTATGTTAGTCTAATATATGTTATACGATATAACAAATCTTTAGTTTTATAAAGCTTAAACCAATGTAAACTGTCTCAAGTTATGTTATATGTATATCGATCGTATAACACAGGTCAAAATAAACTTCATTCCTTAAATAACGACCCAATTTCGTATATTCCTTGGTTTTAATGTTCATACGTGGTATGATTGTTTTTTTTTTTTATTCTCAACTATATTCTCTACAATTTACTCTCAATTATAGAACTAGTAAAATTATCGTGCATTTTCGAAACTTAATATTTTTCGAGTAGACATTCACTTATCCATTAATAAAAACATGTTGACGTCGCCCAAAATTCAATAGCTGGCAAGTGTATTGCATGTTTTGATACTTGTTATTCATCGAGTTTTTTCAAAAGCACTTATTAATTAATGCAAGTTAAAATTAAATAAGGCAACACGATATTTTCCCACACAAATGACTTCTTTTACATAAATAGCCTTGGTGTACCTTCTACAGATTACATAACTACGAATGGATCCGACTTCACCAGAATTGGAATTAGTACACAAATTTAAAGGAACAGAGTACATTTTCCTGAATGATTTAAGTGAAAAAGTACGACTCTACATTTATCGTATATATAAGTAAAAGGAAATAAAAATATATGTGAATATTGGGTGGCTTTATTTGGCATATTAAAATGAGGAAATAAACAAAAATGAGCAATGAAATCAGTTATGAAGGGATGATGTAAGTAACTGTATTTTAATATTGTGTTTTTTATGCTAATGAGATTGAAATATGCTTTCTTGAAATATGAATGGACAATGTAAAAGACACTTCATCACTTTACCAGTGTTTATGTATTCATTGCCAGAGTAATGCGACAGAAAAATATTGTATTTTATTTGTACTTTAAACCAAGGAAAGAGTTAAAATACAACTATATTTAATGATATTAACGAGATGGAATTGATAAAAATAATAGGGAGATAATCAATGAACAGTATTCGAGCCCTAAAGTCCATTATACAATACAAAATAGGAGCAGAGCAAACACGGGCCTCCAAAACTTCAGAGGTGGTATATTATGAATTTTGTGGATGATAACATGAAAAAAGACTTTGACACTTTTATAAGTTTGTCAGAATGTATTAAATGTTTAAGTATATCAGATCTATATGTTAAAATCGCTCAATAAAAGATTATGGTGCAATAAGAGTCATATATCCTTCTACGTTCATTAATTCAGAAGTGAAAAATAGAATTATACAATCAGTATGTACTATTCCCAGATATTAACATTAATATAGGAGGTAAAACATTGTCTTTTTAAGGCTCATTATTTTAACTGTATTTTAAAGATGTGATTTTGGTTTTCGGAAATATGAAAACTATTCAAACTGACACATATTCAGGAGGAAATTCTCCTTAAAACGTGTCAGTTTTGAATAGTTTTCATATTTCCGAAAACCAAAATCACATCTTTACTGGATTCCAAAAACTTCAAATCAATTCCTTATAAACAAAGAAAGGGAAAATTTCTACCAAGCCTCTTCTTCTCTCCTCATTGAAATATTACCAGTAACGTTATGAAGGTTTAACTTTAGGAGTACTGCGTGTACACAAATATATTTCAGAAGTATTGTAATTGAGATGTGGATACATAAAAATTCAAAGGGAATTTTAAAAACTTAAAATTACAAAATTATTCAAAATAAATTTTGATAAATTAATTATTTCCATTCAAATGCCGACATGATTTATCTCGGTGACCTTGACATGTATCTTTATTTGAGACATCTATTTCATACTTGTATATTTTATCAGAAAAAAGACGTTATTGGTAACTTTCATTATAGATTTATGATAAACACGATAGCTTAAACTTTTAAATTGTCAACTTCCTTTAACCGAACTTAGGGGGTTTATATATGTCTCTGATGATTCGATACGCAAGAGATGCCCTACCTATGATCAATATCTATAACGAGATATATATTATTGACCGAATAGTTGATGGACCAAAAATTTATTAACAATCGTGTTTGGTCATCATATCGTAGGTTCAATTGTCCACACAATGACCTTGATGCAAATAGTCAAATGCTGACATTTTAGAACATTATATGCACAATTAGTTGTCGGTGATTTTTTCGGTATTCCACGATTACTGGTATTATAAGGAGCACATGTATGACGGTTGACAGCCTGGGGATGCTCACTCCACCATGGCACCTGATCCCACCTCTGAAGTTTTAGAGGTCCATTTTTGCTCTGATTTTGATTTGAATTTTGTGAAAGAACTAATGTGATTGGTTACTGTTTCTTATATACATGCATGTAATTATTTCACTTCAAAATTTATTTTAATTTACAAACTTGTTTAAAATCAATCCTATCCCAAAACACTAACAATCGAAATAGGGAAATATGTAAAAATTATTCCGAGACTAACGGCGATTTTGAAGAGAGGAAGTCCGGTTTCTTACACTTCATAGAGTTGATGTGTATATACTAGTATACCAGTATAAATAACTACATGATTGAAATATGAGTGGAATAGTTTAATGGCTAAAACCTCAGTAGAAAACATGTGAAGGCATACAGCAGAGACGTATTATAGCAGAAAAATTAACAAACATGTTCATTGTTGGGATATTAACAGTATGACTGTTCAACTTCTTTTGTGAAGACTGTCGCTTCTTTTATTTTTTAAAACATATTTTTTCCTTGATAGAACACTAGATTATAGCAAAACTGAGAGGCGAAATGAAAAAAATTACACATTTTTTTAACAAGGTTTTGATGAATATTTTCCGGTTTACAGAAAGAGACATAATATAGAATCATTTTTTTAAATGTGTGGTTTGTATAACCAGAACTACGTGTGAAATTAAGTCAAAGTGGGAAAAAGCGTGTACTTATACTGAAACTAAGATTCACTGAAAGGATTTCTAAAGCGATTTTTATTGGGGAGAGAGAATAGTGTCCCATTCAAACAGATTGTAGAAGGACACATTTTCTTGAAGTTATAAGTAACTTTTAAAAATTGTGATGAAATGATTGCCTAAACCTCCAGGAAATCCCGGTTGAATGAAAGAAATCTGTTTTCCAACTGTTGTTTATCTTCCTTTTCAGGAAAAACAATTTCGTGATATATATCTGAAATATCTTTAATTAACGTTTTAAACTCTGGAAAAGGAACATTTCCTTACAGCATCTTTGTGTGCCTTGTTCTAGGAAGGAAACGAAAAAGAACTGACACCAACGAATGGGAAATAGGCTCGAATCAATCGTTTTGGGGTCATTTAAGATAAAGTGGATGAAAACTATTTTGACTGTTGCTTTGTTCCATGTTCACAGGAATAGTTTTCATCTTGTTTCAAAGTGAATTTGTTTTGAAAACATGTGAATTCACTGATATTTGAAATTCAAGGTAAATTTAATAGATTTTCCCCTTTTTCTGAAAGAAAAATATCTTAAAAGAGAGAAAATTACCGTTGAAGTTAAAAAGTTTCTCTAAAATGTACTTTTGAGTGTATTTTATATATTGTATATTGCACGAGTGCCTCCAAATGTGAATATGTATATTGATTTTATCAGGAAATTGTTTGAAGCACTTTTTTTTTCAAGGATAATTCTGATATCCTTAAATTAAAAAAGCAATCAATTTAGCTGTTATACATTGTTCAGCATTAGTGGGAAAATACACACAAGTATGCTTGTTGATGATTTACCGAATAGATGACTTTTACTTGGTGTGTGAAATTTTAGAGCTTTGAGAAATGACGTCCATCCTCTTTACATGATTTCAAAGAATTTTTATATATTTCAGGGCAACCAAAAAGAATCAACTTCCACTGACTTCCCACCACAAGGAAACTTTTTTGATATACGTGTAAACAAATGATGTCTCTACTAAAAGTCACGATATCGGAAGGCAGATATATGCGCTCTGAATCACGTAGTTCTTATCACTAATGAATTCCCACACGTTAATTTAAAATATATTCTTTGTGAATCAAAAATAAGTGCGTATGTAACAAAACGTATAAATCGTTAGAAACATTACTGCCTCGTTACCATGGGAAACGCTCCACCTCGAAACTCCTATAAGGTAGATCCAGACTACACCTCAACCGGAAGTACGGAGAGTTTACCTTCTCCAAGATGCTATCGTTACAACCTAACTCAAGGCAAAAGTCAAGGTCAATACGTCACGCCAACTATGACAATGAAAATATCATGTGAAAACTTGCAGCACCTCTGTTGCAGTCCAGATGGATCGGTTTGGGTTTGCAGACGACCACAAATAATCCAGCTTAATTCAAAAGGTCAACATCAGCTCGTTTTAGAAGTCAAAATTGAGATTTGTGGTTTAGCTGCCAGTAACAGGGGCTCTTTAGTTTTTACAGATGGGAAAAACAAACGTCTCATCTGCACGCAATTCGAGGATGACGTCATCACTAAGAAGGTCTTGTCCACTGACGACTGGTACCCAATTGGTGTCTGCTGTGCCGAAAATGGTGATATCATAGTTGGGCTCTTCAAACCTGAGGAGCAGGGCAGAGTTAGTCGATACAGCGTAACCGGGGGAACGAGAAATGTTATACAGCAAGACAGTAGTGGGGGTCAGCTGTATAAATTTCCAGCTTTCGTCACTGAAAATGGAAATGGCGATGTTGTGGTCTCGGACCACCTCAGACGTGCTGTGATTGTTGTTGATCGGTGGGGAAGGTATCGATTCACATACACTGCAGAAAAATTAAATCGCCCGGATGCTGTACCTTTTTTGCCGTTTGGAGTTTGCTGCGATTCTTTATTGAATATTATAGTCTCTGATTGTTGCAATGACTGTGTGCATCTTATTTCTGTAAATGGCGAGTTTCTACATCTGTTGTTCGATAAGACAAGTGGGTTGTACCGTCCTGTGGCTCTATCCATGGGCTCTGGTGGAAAATTGTACGTGGGCGACAGAAATGGGATAAACGTTTTTCATTTGGACAGTCAGAGGTCATCTGATGAAGATGGAAAAGGTTCACGGACTAACAGTATCTCCTCAGTAGGGCATACCAGGATTTCTAATGACAGTGAAAAACTGCAGAGGTTACAGAATTTTCAAGAGATGTGTAAATCAAAAAGCTCATCCAGTCTAAAATTAAAGACAGCTGGTGGCAGCATTCAGAATTACAACTTTGGAGTAGGAACTCCTTCTAGTGTATCCAAAACAATGACTCTTTCAAGCCTACCAAGAAAGAGGCCAAACATATCTGTGTCTCCTACTGCGTCCAGATATAAGGCAAGTACTTTGCCAAGATCCACTGCTTTACTAAGCAAATCAGTTACCAATTTGAATACAGTTGGTACAATTAACAAGCCAGATATCGTAAAACCATTAACATCATTCAAACCATTTTCTGGGTCAATGGCATCATTAAATGTTTTAAACTCTCCAAAGCATTCAATTGCATTAAAAGATAAATCAAATGCTTTGATGAGTTCCCCCTCCTTAGTTAGCATGTCCCCTAAAGTTTCTAGAGCAGAATCAAAATTCAATTCAGCCATACCAAACAAGATTACTTCTACTGAATTATCCAATAAAACGACTAAGGAATCATTTTCTAACAAGCCAACACCAGCGAAGCCGCCGGTGAATTCGTCATCTAATAAGCAACCAACATCATCACACATATCTAAAGCTACACCAACTTCAAATGCAGGTGCAAATAAACCAGTGGCATCAAAAACAACCACGACACCAAAAATGAATGTGTCTTCAAAATCGAAAGTCACTGAAAAAGATAAGTCAAAAGACGGAGTGTCATCTGTAAACTCGGCACAAGAGTCCTCTAAAACACAGGACAAAAGTTTCAGTTCAAAACATGTGATTCGTGAAGAGAGTTGTGAGGGTCAAGGACCAAATCCACTTCAAACAAATCCAAAGGAATATACAAGTAAAAGTTTGGAAAAGAGCGAAAAAATCGCCAACAAAGAAACCAAATCAAAGATGAAAGATCCTTTGCAAAGTAAATCGTGTACGGAAACTGACAAAAGGATACCCTTGAAAGTGTCTGCTGAAGGTAATCTATCGACGAAATCGTCGAGTTCAGACAAAAAGAAATTAAGAGATTCTAATATTTTAGAGTCTACAAGAATATAACCGAGAAATGTTCACTTAAAATCGGATAAGATCTTTATGGAACTTAGTGAAACGTTTCGCTTATATAGAAGATAAGCAGAAAATATGAGTCATTTTGAGGCTTTTCTGCACAAAAATTTAATGATGTAATATTTTTAGAATGGTCTGCCTTCATGCCAAGTTCTTTAAGAACTTATGATATTTATTTTCTAAAATCATATAAAAGCCAATTTCATAATTTTTGTGAATTATTTAGGGCAAAGCCAAAAATGTACTTTCTTCTTTACTTTGGAAAAATAAAAATATCTAGTGAAATTATCTGATTTCTTTCATGAGGGCATTTAAGTCAGCTAATAAATATGCAAAATATGTACCAAAATATATTTCATGACTGAGGGAAAATAATTTTAAATTGACGGAAATGAACAAGTTTGTGACCTTCCTGTGAATCTTGTGTTGTTTTTTTTTTTATTACATTAATTGTTGATATTTAAAAATAAAAATGTAAACAAATAAAAACCTGCATTATTTAGAATAAGCTGGTTACAGACGTTTTGAAGCAGGTTGATTGACGTTTGTCATACTAATTTTTAGTCCTTTATACTAACTGAATGATTTCCCAATCATGACAAGGAACACACGGAGGGTGTGACCATTTGACAGGGGATGCTCACTCCTCCATGGCACCTGATCCCGCCTCTGATGTTTCGGAGGTCTAAGTTTGCTCTGCTCTCATTTTGTATTGTTTAATGACTTTTGAGCCTGAATACGCTCCGTTATCTCCATGTAATTCACGTACAATAAAATGGTACAATGATAATACACTGTACAATATGAAAATAAGGATCAAGAGTCATTATGCTTAAAAGTACATTTAAGTGATACATATTTGGAATAGAAGCAGACCCCATCCTCTTTAAACATCGGAGGAGGGACCAGTTGCCCTGGAGTAGTAAGCATCCCCTATCGACAGGCTTCAGTAAAAATTTCAACCTATCATTTACACACTGAATTGTTTATGACATTTTCTTTGATTTGAAAACTTGACGTTGTTCCTAGTCAAAGGGGTGCCTTTGGTACCTGAACCCAATTCTGTTTTTAGAGGCCCATTTTTCCCCTGCTCAAAATTTGTATTGTTTAAATTGATTTATGATCAATTTTTAGTTATACTTACATCTGATTTTCAAAAATATCATGTAAGAAAAACATTTGTAGAAATAAAAATAAAATAAATTACCTATTCAATATTCTAAATTCAGTATGTTCCTCACCATATATCGGTGAAAAGCTTCATTTTTTCAAAACCTTTCAAATAAACATATATATAAACAAAAAATTTCTGTCAACTTTTTATTTTGGTAAATTTTGCTATAAAAAATCCTATTGTGTCCTTATCATAAACTGCCATACTATCATGTGACTCGTCACATGACGGGTCAAACATCTGTAGTAATTGTTGCAGATTCTTTGATAAGCCTGAACACTGTCTTCCATGGGACCCTAAATGTGGCACCTGGAATAAACATAAAATTCTTAATGCACTTTACCCTAAAAATCAGGTTTTTTTTTTTTTTTTTAAATCGAGGATTATTCTTTGAGTGGAAAAAGTAATATTTGGCAGGAATTGTGTGGAAACTTCAAAGTTCAACGGAATTCAAATACAGAATATATATTTTTCACAACACACCCAAAGTCTAAAAATGTCACAAGTAGGCCTAAATCAAAAATATAAAAATAAAATTTTAGATTTGTAACATTGTGGATTCTGTATTATCTCTGGAATATTTTTTTGTTAGGTGTGGCTTGCAACTTTCAATCGTTCGTATCAACGTTGTAATACAATCACCAGGAAATTGTGACTGTATCAAATAACTAATATGCATGTACTTGCAAATCCACACGGATTCATGCAAGATCTGTATACAATTCTCTAAATTAAGTAAAAACATTTCCTTAATCAATTACTTCAAAACTATACTTAATTTTCATGTTGTATGCCGAATACAAGTATATGCATTATATTTTATTAGTATATCTCTACCGATTATTTACCATATAAAAGTAAATTGATATATTTTGCTGATTCCCTGAAAATCACCGTAGAAAGACTTGATTCCCTGCAAAAAGGTGTGTCAGTTTGGTGAACTGTTACACACCTATTCGAATTTTTAATCATATGAAAAGTACTGACTCAGAGATGTTCCAAATAACATCATGAATATTCATAATATTATATGTAATACATCGGTATAATAAAACAGTTAAAAATATCATTGAGGGAGTCAGCAAGATTCCAGTTCCCCTCAAGCAAGCCTATTTTCCTTAGCTGCACCCTGGGAAATAGACTTGCTCTAAGCCTGGGGAACTGGAATCTTTCTGACTCCCTCAATGTCAATGATATACTTTAAATGTATAATGATTCCCATATCTTGCTTCATTTTTTAAAGTTTTGTCATTTAAGTGTAAAGTTTGTTTAATATATATATTTAATGGCATGAAGATTTTATATACATGTACATGTCCATTGTAGTACAGAAGAGAAACTCTTTTTTCTTTTTATCATTTTAGTGATTTTTTTTAACATAAATGATTATTCATAAAAAAAAATCTTTAATTAGAATATCTAGGGAAGACATTTGTGTGAAAATAACATTCAAACCCTATTTTTAGCACATCAAAAAGTAACCATTTTTATCATATAAATTTCAGAAAATATGACAGAAATATAAATGTGTCAGTTTGGACTTGTAACATTTGGACTCCAGTATAATTCAGGATTCATATTTTTCCTTTTAATGTGGTACTTTAAACTTCAAACTTTTTCTTTCGTATCAGCATGGCTTTACCTTCACAAGGAAATATTGGTATTAGTGTTTAGTTCCATTCCAGTTTAACCAGAGTAGTTCACTAAATCAATCCATCAAAAGTTTTATCTTAATTGCTGGAGAAAAACATTTCCCTGATTAAACTTAAAGGTTCCAAAAATATGCCTGAAAGTTCATGCTGTTGAATTTTAAAATACATCAATTTTTAGAAGTAATTTTCTCATTACCCCTTAATGTTAAACATTTTTCTGGCAGAGAGAAAAAAAGGACAGTAACTAGGTACTGAAAGCAATGTCATTACAAAGTAACAGCCAGCTCTGATACGAGTAAAATTGCAAAGTCCATGATTCATTTAAATGGGAAACCCAATATAATATTTATCCAATAGGTGCACTACTGCATTACCTCAATATGTAAATAAAATTATGAGAAAGTCTCATTAAATTTCTGACATAGGAATTGTGCATAAGGAATGGCAACTCCTAAGTGTTTTACAGAGTTTGTATTATAAATTGTCATTCTATTTCTTTGAATTTATGTTAAATTAGAAAATTGGGGTTTGTCAGACCAAAATCACTAAAATGTTTTTTTTCCTAATATTTGATGTACCCATCTCTTACATATGTACGCAGCTTGTCAATGCCATTAAATAAGATTTAAGGAGACCTTAGCACAATACAAACACTGCCATATCTATGATAAGCTTACTTGAGCTATGAGAGAAAAAAGCAACAAGATCTTTCATAGAATAGCTTAATTATCTTAGTCCATTTTGAAAATAAGTTTTAATATCAAAACTGTAAAAACAAAAGTTCAATTATTTTAGGTTTAAAGGGTAAAGCAAAAAAAAAAATTAATTTCTTGGTTCTAAAAATGCCTCAGTTGCCTTTTATTGCTAAATCAATAAAATATAAACACAAAATCACCTCCCTATCATTTTTTGAAAATTGTAAAAAGCTAATCATGTTTTGGGGGCTAAAAATAAATTAAATAAATTAATAAATATCATATTTCTTGAAAAAAGGCCTGAGAACCAAGTAATTAACTTTGCATGGCCTTATCATTACTTAAGCTTCATTGCTCAGCGAGAAATAAGCTTACTTGATATTTTGGAACAAGCTTAATAGTGGAGTGTAAGAAAAACTCACTTTAGTACTGTAAATAAAATTTATCTGAGCATTGAAATAGATTTATCCAAGCTGTTATATGGACTTGCCTGAAGTTATAGAGATTGGCTTACCTAACCTTTGAGAAACATTTTCTTAGAAATATTTACCTGAGCAATACTTACCTTAGCTCTGATATAAACTTACCTGAGCTGTGAGCTGTAAGTCTGGGAAATTTTCCAACACCCATATGACTTGTTTTTCATTCTCCTCCAATGTTACTGTACAGGTACTATAGACAAGAACTCCACCTGGTCTTAGAAGCTGCACAGCCTGAGAGTACACAACAATTTCTTTAAACATTTACTGGTTCAAGGACTACATGTACCTTGTAAAAGACAAAAAATTTGGCATGTATATTCCACATTTTCCCTGTCAAATATCTTGTGTTCAAATTTCCTCTGATATCTTCCATACAAATTAATTGAGTTCACACTAATCTGGTTTGATACTTACCTTGCGTATGGACTTTCTCTGGTATCCTGAGTATGATTTGAGTGAGTTCAGGGTGATGTTGTTTAATACCTACCTTGTGTATGAACTTTCTTTGATATCCTGAGTAAGATTTGAGTGAGTTCAGGGTGATCTGGTTTAATACTTACCTTGCGTATGAACTTTCTCTGGTATCCTGAGTAAGATTTGAGTGAGTTCAGGGTGATCTGGTTTTTGAGTGATGGCCTCTGACCAAGGGCACTACAGGGGACGTCCAGCAAAACACGGTCAAAATATTCTGTAGGAATTTCTGGAAAGTTCACACTGCCACCTGCAATAGTAAGGGAAGTAATAAAAAGATTATATACTTTACACTAGTAAAGGGATGGTTCCAGTTAAAAGTCTCTTTACAAAACATGTGCATGTAACCAAGTTAGTTTTGATTTCTTTACAACCCAGTCAAAAGTGTTAACAAAAAGAAAATGTGTGTAAGCATTTCCATAAAGTATCAATGGAATTAAACCAGAGAATTTTCCTTGAATCTTTGATTTTCCACATTATAAACATAGTGATTACATTGTCCAATATTTTTTTGGTATGCATTTTTTTTTAAAAAGAAGTCTTTTCAACCTCTGTAAAAATATAATCATACTGTATATACGGAAGTTTTCAACCTTTTTTTAAAAAAACTTTTGACCTAGTCACAGGCCTTTGAATTTAAAATGAAGCAGATACAAAAGAAAAATGTACATGTACAATATAATTTTTCAAACAAAAATTTTATTAATTCAAAAGGAAAATTTGTTCAAAAGGACAAATGGGTGAAAATAACAAGAGGCCCAAGGGCCACAGCGCTCACCTGAGCACATCAGGCTTGAATTTACACCCCCCTTCCAGGCGTTCATCATTTGAACAAACTAGAATCTACACTACCTGAGGATGATTCCATATAAATACCCCGGGTATCACTAATCATAGCTTTGAAGTACTTGAAAAGAAGTCTTAAAAGGTTTCCCTATATATCCCTATGTAAATCTTGGGTCAGCCATTTTGGCCCCACCCTATCCCCAGGGCCGGGGGTTATTATTTGAAAAAAACACTTGAGTCTACACTACCTGAGGATGGCTTCCCTATCAGTTTCATCTTTCCTGACCCAGTGGTAATTGAGAAGGATTTTTAAAGATTTTTCCTAAATATTCCTTTGTAAAATTTGGGTAGGCCATTTTGGCCCCATCCTTGCCCCTGGGGTCATGATTTGAACAAACTTGAATCTACACTACCTGAGGATGATTCCACATGAGTTTCATCTTTCCTGGCCCAGTGGTTCTGGAGAAGAAGATTTTTAAAGATTTTTCCTATATATTCCTATGTAAAACTTGGGTCGGCCATTTTGGCCCCACCCTAGCCCCGGGGATCATGATTTGAACAAATTTGAATCTACACTACTTGAGGATGCTTCCACATGAGTTTCATTTTTCCTAGCTCAGTGGTTCTGGAGAAGAAGATTTTTAAGGATTTTTCCTATATATTCCTATGTAAAACTTGGGTCGGCCATTTTGGCCCCACCCTTGCCCCGGGGGTCATGATTTGAACAAACTTGAATCTACACTACCTGAGGATGCTTCCACATGAGTTTCATCTTTCCTGGTCCAGTGGTTCTGGAGAAGAAGATTTTTAAAGATTTTTCCTATATATTCCTATGTAAAACTTGGGTCGGCCATTTTGGCCCCACCCTTGCCCCGGGGGTCATGATTTGAACAAACTTGAATCTACACTACCTGAGGATGCTTTCACATGAGTTTCATCTTTCCTGGCCCAGCGGTTCTGGAGAAGAAGATTTTTTAAAAATGCCATTAATTTTTAACAAATTCATAATTATCTCCCCTTGGAAAAGGGCGTGGCCCTTCATTTGAACAAACTTGAATCCCCTTTACCCAAGGATACTTTGTGGCAAGTTTGGTTGAAATTGGCCCAGTGGTTCTTGAGGAGAAGATGAAAATGTGAAAAGTTTACAACGACAACGACAACAACGACAACAACGACAACACCAACGACAGACGACGGACAAATTTTGATCAGAAAAGCTCACTTGAGCCTTCGGCTCAGGTGAGCTAAAAACTCAAAATAAACCCTGTACACATAATATATTGTATGTTGCACACAACACAGAAACCTTACCAGCAGGGACTATGGGGATCTTCAGAGCATCACAGGCGTGACACGTCACACAGGTAAGGCCCCACCTGTCCAGGTTAGCCTGGATCTTATCTACCTTCTGATCTGACCTGTCTATAGCCACCACCTCACCCTGTAAGTAAAGGTAGGCCACAGTTGTAGCTACATCAAGGTAACTGAGACTTAACAACATTTAGAAGTTGATAGTTTAGCAACATTAAGGTATGCCACAGTTTTAGCTATACATCAAATACACCACAGTTGTAGCCACATCAAGGTGAATAAAATGTAGCAACTTTAAGGTTATCCATAATTGTGGCAACATCATTTTCTAAATTCTCTCCATATCTGTGTTAACATAAGAGAATTTTTTGTAAACTTTGCCATAGAAAGGTCAATGCTATAAACAGGGTGACCCAAAACGAAACTTACAAAACGTTCTGAGGAAAAGTAGAAATGATCTATTATTTGTAAACTGTGGTACTTTTATCGCAAAAAAGTTTCAAAAAATAGCAATTTAAAAAATGCATCAATTTTTTACAGTCATTTACATCATAATCTGGATTGAAAAGATCAAATAAAACATTCCCATAAAGACTCTGCCATCCAGTTTATTTAATAAAAATATTAAAATTCTAAGATTTAGAAAAGGTAAAAGAGGGGGAAAGGTGTAACAGTCATTTTGTCATTCATCAAACATTTCTTAACTATACATGTACAAGTGAGATCACATACAGAACCTTGTTTTTCATTTTGCTGGCAATGTGAGTTGTCTTCCCTCCTGGTGCTGCACACATATCCAGAATTCTCTCCCCTGGCTGTGGGTCAAGCACATGTGTACATATGATAGAGGGCAGGTTCTGGGCCAGAATCAGGTCAGGTCGAAGGTCACTGAGACATGGGGCCTCATACAGGGGCTCTGACATTAAAATTCCAACACCACTGTAATAGATGTTAATTTTTTAAGTTAACATTTATAATATTATTACATGCTATTTCTAAAAATTATTGTGCACACTTATATCACATTTATTTATTGTAGAAGCTAGGTACGCGGTCACAAAATTTCAACGGAAATTTGTCCAAGTGTACTTAAAATAAATGTAAGGCATATAGTGACAATCTAGAAAATCCGCGTAATTTTCTACTCGCGGATTAAATAGAAATTGAGATTCTGCGGAATTATGAACCCATGGAAAAAAGTACGTCTACAGTATTTAAATATTCAATATATCATACAGTAATTATATTATTTGAGTCATGCTTAATGTTCAGATCTTTATGGGAAATAATTTTTCACACCACAACTAAGAACTATCAAATCCTTAATTTTTCTAACTATGGAATTCAAATAACCTTATTTTTCAATCTAAGGAGACATAAAACCAGAATATACCTTGGAGTTGGTTTGGTTTTGAATATGTTATCTCTACTGAACTGTGCCACACCATTTCCTACATGGAACTTGGATCCACCCATGGGTTGCATGTCACCTTTTAGACATTTGCCATCGAGATCAATGTACACAGAAACCATGTCACCTGACATCATGTCTGAGAAAATAAAAGATTTATGGAGCACATATAAAGAACATTTTTAATTCAATGACACTGACAAAAAAGGGGTGGAAATACACATGTATTAGAAAACATCACATTTCTTTGAAGAACATTACCTAAATTAAAGATACATCAAAGGCACTTGATGCTTCTTTTCCCTATATAAAAAATTAACCCTAAATCTCTTGTATTATTAGATATAAGGTTAATTTTTTATATTAGAAAAATAAGCAGTGTCAAGTGCCTGTGCCTTCACAGTGTATATCAATACATTTACGTCTTCCCCCTTCCCTTCTATTGTTATTTACCTCTCTCTCTTCCCATTCCCCGCTCCCCTCACTATTTATATCTTACTTGCTGGTGCTCCAATTATTCCCTGAACAAAAATGTCTGCTCCCCGTAACACAGCCATTCCACAGTTGTGATCTATGACTACCTCCTTCTCCATCTGAAATAACAAAGAAAGTTTTATCTGGAATTTTTTTTAAATTTGGTCATTCTTAGTTAAGCTCTGACTAGCCTCCTAATCATACCTAATAACTTTAGGCTTGTTGTTTCATTAAAGACCATTTCTAAAATAGACCCCCCCCCCCAAAAAAAAAAAAAAAGAATGGAATTTTTCTGCACATACTGCAGAGATCTTCTTCATAGTTCATAATTATATAGACAAGTGTATTTTGTCGATTACAGCTCTTAAAACTGGTAGTGTGTTTCTGGATCAATGCTTTAGCCATACAACTATAATTTTTATTATCTGAAAAATCACTTTGATGCTTTTTTTTTTAATTTAGTCTACTTAGTTGACTCTGAGAATAAAATGGCCATAAGGTCCACAACAGTATTTCATGAGATTAATAATATGGGGACTTGTAAAAACAGCTGACTTCAATTTGGGGAAATTTACCTGTTTTAGCTGTTTTGGGCCTCGATTTTCTATGACAAGTACATCCTCAAGGGAAGGGTGGAGAAATATTTGGGGTGGATCCCAGTTTCTGTTTTTATAAACCTTCAAAAAAAACAACATAGATTTACTTGATGTTGGTTTACAGGTACTAATTTGAAAGGAAATTATTAATTCATGGGTTTACAAGGTGTTCCAATAAACTGACATTGAAATTATAATTTAAATTCTGAAATCTTTCAAATTGGTAATTTGTTTATGCTGCAAGTATTTCCTCCTTTAATTTAGAAGGTAATTAAAGGCTACACTATTTACCAACATCCTTCCTGAGAAATTGAATTTTGTAAGGAAGGAAAAATCAACCCAGTTAATCATAACAAACAATTATTGCATGTATTTCATTTCCTTAATGTATAAAAATTAACAATTTTTTCCTTATTTATACCTTTCCTCCAAAAAATTAATTTTGATTAATTTTTCAATGCTACATGTATGCAAATTTTTTTTCAGTGATATAATTTAAAATTACCATGATTACTGTACATTATAAATAACGTGATAAAAACCAATTATGAAAAGACTTTAATATATGTGTATCAACATGATCAAGTCCTCAAAAAGGTGAATTTTATTTCTTTTTTGGGGGGCACTATCGGCATGATCAGGTACATGTCATATATTATATAATTTTATTAAAAGAATCTTCATTACAATGTGTTAGTAAAATAATCTATGATCATGGCTTTAAAATTTGAATGAACACCTCATCCCACTGATTTTACAACAAACTACAATCTCTG